TTCAACACTCCATTCAGGAAAGCAGTTTTCACATCCATATGATGAACAAGAAGATTAAATTGATTTGAAAAAGCAATTATGAATCTGAAACTTTAAATTCTTGCAACTGGTGCAAATGTTTCATTATAATCTTTCAAGTATTCCTGACTGAAACCTCGAGCAACAAGACGAGCTTTATATTTCGATGGGTTTCCAAATTCGTCATTTTTAAGAGCAAATACCCATTTACAATCAACTATATTTGTGTTCACAGGTTTCCATACTAACGACCATGTTTTGTTGATTACAAGAGAATTAATTTCATCTTGAATAGCTTCTTCCCATTTAACTTTATCAGTTCTATTCTGAATTTCCTGAAATGAAGTGGGAATTGTACATACAATAGATTGGGCGCACAAAAGGTAATCATTGGATATATTATCGTCTTCATATTATAAGAAATTGTCGTACGATTTTTGATTCTGTCACTCCGCCTGAGTTCAGAAAACGATGGTACTTCACTTCGCCCATTTTTCCCATCATCTAATTTTATACCTTCATTAGATTTTACCTCTATCCTGGTTTTTGATTTATCTGGTTTATCAATACCAGATTTTTTTATCACTGATTTTGACTGGAAGTCAGATGCATCAGTTTCATATCGCATACGTTTCTCTGATTTAGCACTATCAGATTTATTACCCACTGATTTTGACTGGAAGTCAGATGCATCAGTTTCATATCTCAATAATTTATCTGATTTATCACTATCAGATTTATAACCCACTGATTTTGACTGTAAGTCAGATGCATCAGTTTTATCATCAATATGGGAATTTTGCGACTTCCCTTCAGGCTCAGCCATAGGCCTAGATACTAAGAAATTTGTTTCATCTACAATGACATCTCTTACGACAACAAATTTTTCAGTTTCCACATTCCACACTTTATACCCATTCGGTTCAAAACCAACCAGTATAGCTTTCCAGGATTTTTCATCAAATTTTGATTTTCTGGTTTTATTGTGGATATAAACGGTTGAACCAAAAATCTTCAAATATTTTACTTGCGGCTTTTTGCTATGCCACATTTCATATGGTGTTTTGAACTGTTTCAGAGCTTTAGTCGGTGTTATATTTATTAACAATGTTGCAGTTAAAACTGCCTCACCCCAAAAAACCTTCTCTAATTTTGCACCATGAATCATTGCACGAGCTTTTTCTGTGATAGTTCTTACCATACGCTCTGAGACACCATTTAACTGTGGGGTTCTGGGAACTGTCAAATGATAACTAATTCCTTTCGTTACACAATAGTCCTTCATTTCAGTCGATAAATATTCCCTTCCATTGTCACAATATAGATTGACAATTTTCAAATCAAAATGAGCCTCACTTTTTGCAACAAAATCACGAAAAACGGAAAATACATCTGATTTATATGTAATCAAATATGTAACACAATAGTGAGTATATTGGTCGACAAAAAGAACAAAATAATTTTTGTTATTGATTGTTGAAGGCGTAATAGGACCAGCCACATCTGAATGAACAATAAATAAGGGTCTTTTTACGTGCGTTTTATCTTTACCCTTCTTGAATGGTAGACGTGCTTGTTTACCACTTATACACGCTTCACATAAATCATCATTAGGTGTTATCTGATCGATTTGACCCACATCTTCGATCATATGTTTATTTTTCCACTCTAAAAATTTAGATTTTCCAATGTGGCCTAAACGTTGATGCCACAATTCATAATTATTAGTTTTTGTGCTACTATGTACTTGAACAATAGAAGTTGGTACATTTGTATTGATCAAGAGATCAATACCAATCAAATTGTGCAAAGACTTACCCATCATAATGGTCTTACCACCTTTGCTTATGGAAACACCCTCTGGAGTGAACACCACTGTCATTCCAGCCTGTTGCATTCTCCGCACGGACAGCAAATTGTACGGAACGTCTGGACAGTAGAAGACATCCTCAAGGATACCTGGAATACCCATGTTGCTGATGACATTAATCGTTCCTCTCTTTGTCGCTGTTATGTAGGTCCCATTTTTAGCTACAGAGATTTTGATTGGAGTTTGCAATTCAACCAATTTGCCAAATATATCGTCTCTGTTTACAAGATGATCGGATGCTCCAGAGTCTAGGAGGAATGTGATTTTATTCTCTTCTTTGTCGAAACATTCGAAATCTCCAGCCATAAATGCAAAACCAGATGCGTTTTCACTTGGTGCTGATCGTTGCTGAGATACCTGGATGGTTTGAATGGTTCTCTTTCTATCAGCTGGTTTGTATGTGCGTGCCTTTTTGTAATGATAACAATTCAGTTTCAAGTGACCTTTTCGACCACAATGGTAGCACTTCAAATTTGAAGTTTTCTTAGTGAATTTGAACTGTCTTGGTTTATAATGTCCTGGACGATGATGTTTTAATTGTCCAGCGGTCTCAAAGTTTTGCTTTCTTGTTGATACATCACTATTTTCAACGTGAAGTATTTTTGCGCTTGTATCGCGGCTTTCAGTAGTTAATTTGACCTCATGATCTAGGAGTCTTGTTTTCACAAATGGTAAAGTCAAATTATCCTCGGATAATGTTTCCAGTGCTGTTATAACTCCATCATAAGATGTAGGGAGAGTCAACAATAAATGAGATACCTTATCAGTCTCTTCTAATTTTGCACCTGCTGCCAATAGTTCTGTAACTATATCATCGAAGGTTCTGAAGTGTTGCATTAGAGACGTGTCACCTTGCAATTTGAGTCCCAGCAATTTCTTGCGTAAGGCCAGTTGTGTAGCTATACTCTTGCGTTCATAAATTGCATCCAAACTACACAAAACTTCCTTTGCGGTATTGTCTGTTTTTGCGAAACCAAGGAAAGAGTCAGCCAAATACTCCACAAGAACACTTTTGGCTGTGCGTTCAGCTTTATTCCACACATCAGTCATTGGATCAGGGATTTCTTCATCGATAACTTTAATAACGTCAAGTTCAGTTAACAAAGCCCGTATTCTGAATTTCCACACACCATATCTGTCCCCGTCGAATGATTTAATGTTTCTCTTCACTTTCAAATTTTCCATAGTCACTTCAGATTACACGAAGTACACAAATACACACTTATGAGCTAGCACACTGGATTAGCAATCTGGGCCCATAACCTGATGGAAATTGGTTATGGAAATAACAAGTCCGTGTGTTATACTTTAAAACTGTATATTGTTCTCTTCAAATCAAGACCACTCGGAAAGCACGCCGATGTAAGAATCATCATATAGAAAACGTCTCTAGGAAAACTAAGTACATAAGTATATGCTTAGTAAGCAGTCTCTCCTCATCTATACCATGCACATTGCTTTCATTTATATATTTTAAATAAACAAATTTAATGTGGCCCTCGTGCGCTGCACAGTCGACATTTCTAGATATTCAACGATAATAAATACATTGGTTTATATTTCATTTTTGTCTACGTACACAGTGGACTGTGTATATCCAACATATACATTCAAAAATCAACAACTAGTTTATGAATTTCCTTGCAGTTAGAATAATTTTTCAACTATAGGTAGGCTGTGGAATAAATGACATTTAACATCAAGATTGTACTTGTTTTGACCTGTTGAACTTGAATATGTAAAAATATACAGGGTGTTCCATTTGAAAAAACAAAATTGCTGGCATTTCCAGAAAAACCGGAAGTCCGCCATATTGGATTGTAATGTGATCAAATCCGAAATAGTTGCTTATATAACTGTACCGAATTTCAGAAAAATCCGTTGACGAATGCAGAAGGTACAGGGGTGGCCCGATAGCCTGTGTCACCCGGTATACGATATTGTGTTCGCGACGCAGTGTGCATTTAAAAATAACACGATTGGTCCCTTCTTCGGCTTCATGTGGACATTTCCAAATAACAAAATGGCTATGCTAGTTTGGTTTGGCCCAAAATGAGGCGATTCATTTATGACCCCCTATCAATACCTACTAGACAGCAGCTGTGCTCTCGCTAACTGCCTATCTGTTTAAGGTTTAGTGCAACCTATTAAAATAAAATCGAAGTAGAGGCTTCCAAAATTATCTCAGTATGATTTGCATTTGTTTAAATTATTTAATTCAGTTAACAAAATTGAATACTTTTTTCAAATAGTGCAACTTCACCGAGCTGTAACATGTGCCCTACAAAAATGTTTTACATAAATGTAGGAAGTTTTGTCCTCTTTAACTTTGTGCTAAAACATTTTTTATCGTGAAAGCCACAGTTTTTGAGTTATTATCAAAAAACAAATGCTTGTACATAAAATCCAAGATGGCGGACCGAGCGCATGCACCTTGAGGTCGAAAACTTGGATTTATCATTGGGGCCCCGAGCTTGACAACATACTAAAAAATCGCTACTACCCCCCACCTTTTGCATTCAAACACCCATTTGTATGTATGTTTTGGACCTTATTTTTCGATATACAGGATGTTGACGCAAAAAATATGTTTTACTTTTCTTTATTATCACTCTGTATAAGCTTTCATAATGGCAAAATTCAGTGTGGTTGGTGACTGACAAATTGTAAAAATCTTCAAATTATACCTATGATGGTTATCGAGTGATCTTAATGAATGACTTTAATGAACCTACATTCGAATTCGGCTTCACTAAAGTCTCCATTTTTTTTTTCTTGAAGACCATGCAAGGTACTATAAAACTCATGAAACTAGAAAGTATCAATTTTCAATTGATAGATTGCATTCCTGTATAAGCCAGGCCATTTATTTTTTACTTGTGATGGTTCATTATCTGATATTGAGTTCTCTTGATATTTATGAGGTGCAGAATGATATCATCGGGCCCAAAATACGGTATCTGTGATGTAATAGTCTACCCTACTAAACAAAAATTTAAGAGTTACCAGACTGCAGCCATGATGTATCAAAGAGAATGCCGTTTATAATAATGATTTTAGAACACATTTTTCATGTAAAATCGGCAATAATCAGTTGTATTATTTCTTTCAGTTCAAAGAATTGCAAGAACAAAAGAAGAAGAAAGAAGCTGCAGCACAAAAGGTGGATCATTCAACAGCATATGATGATAGGCAGACACCAGCTGACAGTTTGACAAGTTCAGCACATAGTTCAGTTAATAATGACGCACCTCTAGAAACCATTACCGATGATAAAAATAATTCTGCACCACTGCCAAATTATTTTGCCGATACAAATTATGGAGATAATTTCATGTTTTTTGATAATATTTCAAAGCCAGAAAAAAAAGCAGATGAATACATTCCTAATAATGATTCAAAATCTTACAAAACTATTCAAGATTCCACCTCCTATGGAAATATGCTATCCAACATAGTAGACAATCCAAAAGATGCCGAGAACCAGACAACCCAATACAGTGGTAATTACTCCTTATTTCCTGAAGAGACTCCACACAATTATGTTTATGAAACACAAAATATTTTACATCCCAATCAAGAGATTCCTGATGACGGTGATACTTATCTACTACATGGTTCAAATACAAAGCAAGACCATTCTCTTCAGTATTCATCCAGTAACGATGCTCCAAGTCTGGATTACCCTGAAATTAAGCAAAATGAAATATTTGAAATACACAATAATTCCCAGAACCATAATATATTTTCTTCAGAAACTGGTCGGGAGATTATTGATTGTTTTCAAAGTGACAGCAAGGATAGTCTAAATGAAGTAAACAATTCCGCTATCAAAAATGAAATTGTAGATAATTCTAATAATGCTCAAGAAGAAATTAGACATTCGAGCATTGAAAGTTTGAAGCAGTTTTCCAATCATATGGCAGAAATGGTAGAACCTGAGTATACCATAACCAGTTCAATTACAGACCTAGAAAAACGTAACTTGGAATTAGCTGCTTTATTAGAGCAAACAAATTTGGGATACGAGCAACAAAAAGCGCTAATAGAAGAACTCAAATTCAAAATCAACACATTGGAAACGGATGGAAAAAGAACACAGGAAAGTTTGATTTTACAATCAGCTACTGAGACTAGTAGGTTGAGAGAAGAATTGCAATGTCATATCCAAACCGTGGGATTACTAGTGGCTGAGAAAACAGAGTTATCAGCAAGCTTAAGTCAACTAGAAATAACAGCAAAGCAGAAGGTTTCAGAATGCGAGGAGCTACAAGCTCGTTTGAAAGCTTCCAGGTCAAGGGCATTTGAATTAGAGCAAGAATTGCATATTTTGAGAAACGATAAAAGCAAGAAGGAAACCGTAGGAATAGAGCAAGGCACAATTATTGAAAAACTGAGACAGGAAAGCACGAATCTTCGGGAACAAAAAGAAGAACTTCTCCAAGATCTATTAGAAGCAAGAGAAAAACTGAAAAATAGCTCATTAGATAATCTGAACCTTCAAAAACAAATCCAGGAGGTTTCTAGCAAGCTTTCACTTGCTGAAATAAAAATTCAACAAATATCCAGTGGCGAGCAACAGCAATTTGAAAGTCAAGTTGAAAAGTTAACTTTCGAAAAATTCGAGTTGATGAAACAACTTTCTAGCCTGAATTTGATGTTGAAAACTATGACGAATGAACGAGACGAATCGACTTCGCATTACCAACAATATACGCAAGAATTGAATGCTCAAATGACCAACCTCACTAACCAAATTCAGCGTTTACAACAAGAAAATGAGCACCTTTCAATGCAAGAACAAAACCGTATAAAACATATCGGTGAACTCGAAAGACAGCTACAAAGTTTACAAAATGATCAGGTTGCTTTCGCAAGAAATGGGACTAACAAGGATATTAACCTGAAAAATGAGCTTGAGTCTATCAGAGAACTTAGTGTTCAACTACAGGTAAGTGTATTTTACCAAAAGGGTATTCAATATTTAATTTCTGAAATGTTAGTGGCATGACTTCAAATTAGGAACTTTAAAACTTGAAAATTGAAATGATTAGTTTTGTCTATGAAAGACCACTATATCATAACTTGTTAGTGCTTAATTAACCTTCTTTTTTTTCAAGAGCATTTGAAAATTTGAAAAATATGCAATTTGCTTATCTCCAGTACTAACCTTCAGTATACAAGGTGTTTCATAATATGTGGGAAGCACTTCAATAGGTTATAGAGCGTCTCAAGAAAATGAAAATAGTTTCCATAAACAAAGGTCGCAAATATTCATAGAATTTTCTTGTATCCAGCCTGTATGGTTCATCTTGGTAGCAACATTTAGTCTGTTATGTGTCTGGCATAGGGCCGCAATTCCAAAATAACATCACAGGTACTTGTCATTCACCAGAATATCAAGAATTTTTATCGAGCGATTATCTAGCAATGAGGACTAACATTTTCAGTCTCACCAGTTGGCTCCTTCTAAAACGTGATGTCAATGTCAAAGTCAATACCAAAACTTTGCTGGATAGTCCTAAAGGCCAGTGGCCTGTTTTATGGAGAATATTCGAAAAAAAATTATGTTGAATATTTGAACAAATAGAAAACCGTGAGTTATGGGAAGACTTGAACAGACTTACGTTTTTTAATCCCAATGTGGAACTTGACGACCAATTCTTACATTGACGGAGAAGAAGATATCGTAGGAAGAGGCCAAATGACACGAAAAGTAGAAGTACATTTATCAGTTCTACCAACTCTGACCTCATGACTCAGTCGTGCAATGTGATGGACAATAAATAATGTTCGTCCTCATTCAATGAAAATTATTTTTTATTTCCAACTTAACACCCAGTATCTCGCAAACAAAGCCTTCTACGACACGACTTATGTGTATGGGAGCATTTTTGATTTTTTGAGATCCCCCATTACCTCTTGAAGTGTGTCTGACATATTATGAAACACCCTGTATAATGAGGAAGTTCTGTTCCTCGTTCCGTCATTGGAAAATTAGAAGAGTAAATATAGAGATTAAATCGCAAATTAACCTGAGTCTGAGCGTTACCATCGAGATTAGAAGGCCAGCAGACTCGGACGTAAACAGCTCGTGACGTCACCTAAGAGAGGCCAGTGTTATCGCTTGTCGACTTACGCGTCAGTTCGTGTTAATTCATGTTCGGTGATTCACATATGTTTTTCAAGCGGTCCCGAATTCTTTTGTTTATTCATCAAAATAATTGGCGGAAAAATTACTGTTTTGTGAAATATTTTATGTTGTGATATGCGAAATAACAGTGTTATGTTTCCTTTTGTCCGGGGAATTATGTGGGTGGTCCAAAAGTTCAAGCTTTTAGTTTCCCGTTGGACGAGGAACTATCGAAAAAGTGGGTATATGCAATTCACCACTAGGATTTTATTCCATCTGAGTACAGTAGAGTATGTGAATTACATTTTACTGAAGATGCTATTATTACTTCATCTACTGCAACCGATTCGAAAACTGGCAAAACTGTAACAATAGATCTGAACATTCCTAGGCTCAAACGATATGTATTCTTACTCGATTTCCTAACTGTCCCTTATTTATCGAAAGATAAAATTACGCACAAGTCGTGACGAAAAACTTGAGATACTAAAGACTAAAAATTTAGCAAAAGCACTTACCAAAAGTAAAACTGAATTCGAAAATTATTGCCAAAAATCATTTTGCTAATTTCAAGAATTTCTAGTTGTATTAAAGTCTTTTCAGCTGCCCGAATAGTGGTTCAAAATTATCGATTTGCAAAAAGTCACATTATTCAAATTGTCTTATTCTCGAGGGCCCGTAATTACATATTCGGTTGTGATTGATTCCGTTTTGAATGTGGAATCATTTTTGTATGCTCTAGCGATACAAACATCTCTAAAAGACAATCTGAAATAGTTATTTATTATACAAGGGAAAAAAGTAGTAGATTTTAGCTCCAGGTTGTGTTGTCTCCCGACGCGTAGCGGAGGGAGACAAAAAACCGTGAGCTAAAATCTAATATTTTTCCCGTGTATAATACACTATTTTTTTCTGTGACAGAAGGAAGGACGAATCAATATTGAGAAGATATTACATTATTTCGAAATCTGAAAATTACCGTCGTAAAATTTCAAGTTTTTAACAGTAGGGACACCTGCGTTTTATAGGCATCTTTATCATTCTTTTGAAGTAATCAAATATCTGATGTCACTTCTGTCAGTTCAATTCTGTGATTTGATTTTAAAAAATTGCGAATTCAGTAGTTGTTTTTAGTAATATACGAAACCGGGAAGTCGAATGGAAGATAAAAGGACTTGCAGTTCTTTCTCGGAGACGGTATTATTGACTCATTTTTCGGAACTATAGCACAACAAAAGCCATTAACAGAGTATATATATATGTGATATATATCCGGGAAAAAAGTACTCACTTTTTTCCCACGGGAAAAAAGTAATTTATGAAAAGTGACATTTTATAACCTGCCAACAGAGATGAAATGCCAAACTTTTTTCCCGTCACAGAAAAAACACTTTTTATCTTTAATAATATCAATCAAATCAAGGAGTTACTGAATGAAATAGATAAAAACGAGATCAATGATTCGGGGAAATGTCTTGATAATCAGAAAAAGATGGTTTTGACACATATTACGAATATATTGGACTCGGTTTCTGACTCGGTTTGTATCAAATCTCGATGGTAACGGTCTGAGTCGTAATTTGTAAAAATGCTCGACGAACATTTATTGTCTGTATTTTGAATTTTAATTGAGAAATTGAAGGTAGCCCATGAAAGATAAATTTCTCAAATTTTGATGGACTAAAAATGTTTGTTGTACCCACCCAAATATGAGGGTCTTGAAATATTGTTTCGATTTGCCGCTCTATTCCTATTTTATTAACAACTTTGTCCTGAGCAAACAGAGTGAAAAGTAGCCAGTCTAGCCAGTCAAAAAGACTTCAAATTGTCATTATGGGTTCATTGAAATAGCTACCTGGAATCATTCATTTGTCACTTTCCAACCCTCACCCCATTGAAGAACGCGGCTTAATAGCACACTAATTTATCAATTTATCTGGATCTCAATTTGCATCATTTAATTGATTAGCATAATATAATCAATTTATTTTATATAAAGGCTGTTGAAATATTGTTTCTGTTTGCCGCTCTATTCCTATTTTATTTACAACATTGTCCTGACCAAACTGGTTATAGTTGAATATCGATAAGTGAAAAGTGGCCAGTCAAAAAGAGTTTGATTGTAGAAACCCAGTACTTATTGATTATTATGGGTTCATTGAAATAGCTACCTGGAATCAATCATTTGTCACTTTCCAACCTCGCGAAGAACGCGGCTTATTAGCAAACTGATTTATCAATTTATCTGGATCTCAATTCGCATCATTTAATTGATCAACTTAGAGGAGTAAACCTCGATAAAAAATCCCCAATGCTAAGGTGTAAGTTATCGTGCCCATGGCATGTATGGCACTAGGGTGATAGTGTCTATAACGATACTCTTGGGACACCAGGCGATGTCTCATTATAATTTAGCCTTGTCTCCACATGCGGGGCTCTGTGGGGATGTACTTTTAATTCCCTAGCTACTCGTGGGAATCAATATGAGACCAAATAATCGTTATAATCAACCAAACCAACCTTACCGTGTATCTCCTTGGGCTAATCAAAACACCGGATACCAATATTCATCCAGCCCTTGGATGCCTTACCAAAATAATAGCTTTAATAGGCATGACCAGAGACCTGGGTCTCGAAGTTATCCAAGGCCACAAGGAAGCAGGCCTTACAATAAACCAACTTTCTCTAGGAATGATAAAAACAAGCCAGTGACACAAAAACGTAAACTTGAAGATGGCAAATCTGAAAGCACTACCTCAGCTTCTAAAAAGAAACGCGAAACTTCACCCGAAGTTAGTGTTGGAATTCAGGTGGTAATTGTACCGTCTGAATTTCCAACGAAAGTAATGACAAAAGAACAACTAGCTACCTTGCATGCTGCTATCTTGAAGGCAATTGATGATGTAGAAGAAGGTTCCGTTTATCCACAATTCGTAAATGCCAAGAAAACACGAGGTACCCTTACAGTAACTTGTAGTAACCAAGAAACTGTGGATTGGTTACGAAACATAATAGAAATTTTAACTCCTTGGGAAAACTCTCAGTTGAAAGTAGTAGCGATAGAAGAAATGCCAGTTTATGTTAATGTTGAAATCAAAATTCCTGGGTCCACAGAAGAACCTGATAAACTACTAGAAAGGTTGGAACGTCAAAATCAAGGACTTCTAACAAATACTTGGCATGTGATCAGCCAAAAAGTTGATGATAAACTTCAAATTTTGACGGTTTCTGTAGATGAAAAAGTCATTGAAGCTCTCAAGAGACTTGATTTCAAACTGTTTCTCAATTTCTCTAGAATAGAGGTCAAGCAGTTGGAAAAACTGAAGCCAAGAGTAATTGAACCATCAAAGACCGAAGCAACAAAGGAATCAGTCACGGATGATCAATCAAAACCTAAAGTAGAAGAAACTGCCGATAATAATGTTTCCAATGAAACCAATGTTCAGTCTGACCAACCTGAAAGTCAGGATCCAGATAAAAAAGAATAAATCAAACAGATGAGCATTCGACATCTGTATAATTCAATTTTAAATTTGTAAGATCCAGAAATTGATGTTACCATTTCGAACAGCTCAATTCAAAAAATAATTTCAGTAAATGTCAATATATCGAAGACTAGAACATATGGCACGATGATACACTACACTGTTTTACCACTAACTAGTTAGAGGTAAAAAAGTGTAACGTAGTAAATGTCAAATTAATAATTTTGTCAGCTCGAATCGTATCACTGGTACGATTTTTAACTAGAGGAGTAAACCTCGATAAAAAATCCCCAATGCTAAAGTGTAAGTCAACGTGCTGAAGGCATGTATAGCACTAGGGTTATAGTGTTTTTAACGGTACTCTTGGGATTTTGGGCGACATCCCATTGAAATTTAGCCTTACTTCCACATGCGGGGCTCTGTGGAAGCGTACTCTGATTTCCCTAGCTACTCGTGGGAATAAATATGAAACCAACTAATCGTTATAATCAACCAAACAGACCTTTTCGTGGTGGTAGAGGAGGTTACCAAAACAATCCTAACCATCAAACAAACAACCGCAAACGACCTGGAGATGAGACATACGTATCGGGGCCAAGTAAATTACCAAAAAAAAATTTCAGGGGGAATTATCGGGGCAGGGGTAAACCCTTTAACAAAACTAAAAATTCAAGCAGCCAAAAGGACAAACCTGAAGAAAAGCCAGTTGTTGGTATACCAACCATCGTTGTACCTCAGAAATATCCGCTAGAAACCTTGACTACTGAGCAACTTGACATCTTACAAAAAGAACTATTAAATTCTCTTGATAACATCGAGGTTGGAGCTTTCCGGCCACAATTTTTAGAAAGCATCAAGGAAAAAGGAACACTCTTGATCAATTGTAACAACCAGGAAAGTGTAGAATGGTTAAAGAATACTGTCCCAAGTATAACACCTTGGGAGGGTGCTGAACTCAGAGCTATGGAGCCCGAAAAAGTCACCCAAATGGTTGTTATGCCAAAAGGGTACCCCTTGGAAGTATTGACCGTTGTAGAATTGGATGCACTACAAAGTGAGATCTTGAAAATTATTGATCAAATTCAGGAAGATTTATTCATGCCTCAATTTGTGAATTCCGTCAAACAGAGAGGATCTCTTGTCTTAGATTGTAATAATAAAGCAAGTGTAGACTGGTTGCAACAGACTATCGAAAATTTAACATCCTGGGAAGGTCCTGAACTAGTTGTACTTGAATCAAGTGCAGTGCCTGTCCGAACTATGCTCCAGTTATCGGTGCCAGGAGATCCTGGAGATCTAAAACAATTATTTGAGCGTCTTGATCGCCAAAACAAAGGTTTAAAAGCAAAGGAGTGGAATTTGGTCAAGAGTCGAAAAGAATCGGGAGGATATCAGAATATATTGGTCTGCGTTGAAGACAGTGTTCTAGAAACTCTTAAAAATTCTAATTATAGTCTGTTCTTGAATTTTGGCAAAATAAAAGTCAAAAGTTTTGGAAGATTCAGGCCAAGGGTGAAGGGAGATAGAAAGGTTGTCGAGGAAAGTCCTGCTAATGGAGATAGCACTGTGGCTACTGAACCACCATCTGATGATTCAAAAACCGAACAGACAGAAACATCAAAAGAGGAAGCAACTGAAACACCAGAGAATGGAAAAACCCAGTAACATTCAAATCATAATCAACAAACCAAATAATACCAATCATTTTTTTCATCATTCATCTCCTAGATATATACACAAATGTAAAAGTTTCACCCCACACAGTAGTAAAAATACTGCACTTTTCGCTCAATTTCCCTTTTTTATTTATTGTCCAGAGCTAGAGAGAAGGGTGCACTATTTCTTTGTTTTCTTCTGATAAAAGTATTTGAGAATCATCCATTTGAGAATTTCTAGTAAATACTACTTCAAAGTAGCTAAAGGTGTTGGAATAGTTATTTGTTTAACTAGGCAGCAAAGTAGTAGATTGACTGCCGAGGCTGAATTCATAGCCGAGCGTAGCGAGGCTAGGAATCCAGCTAAGGCAGTCAATCTACTTTGCTGCCGGGTTGAACATATAATTTTTTCTCCGATTGTTCATAATAATATATCTCTTTATTTTTCCTGTAGTGTTCAATTAAAATAAAAATTTGATAGAAATCGCAGTTGTTGGAATGGTTGGTTGCTATGGAAATGTCCATAATAGTTATAGTTTGACAATTCATGAAATTTCTGACAGTTGTGCGAAAAAATATCGGTATATTTAAATTATTATATAATGGACAGTGATAGCGACCTGGAAGTACTTACACCTCCAGAAATAAGGGAGGTGGCAAAAAATATAGAGTTGAATTTGTTGCCGTAGAAGTCTCGGATGAAATATGAAGGAAGATATAAACAATTTATGGATTATTAATTTTGCTGATACATATCAATCAGCAAAGTAAGCACTTTGCTGCCTAGGCAGCAAAGTACCCACTTTGCTGCCTAGGCAGGAAAAGTAATATTTTGCTGATTGATATGTGTCAGCAAAATTAATATTTGCTGCCAATCGGAGAAAAAAATATTTGGAATGTATAATAAAATCAACTTTTTTTTCTTGTTCACTAGAAATAATTCCTTATATTTGGTCTGTAAATCTCATCATACAATAATTATTTATTTCTAGATCATGAAACATTCTTATTATCCATATTGAATATGTTTGTGATGCATGAAATGTATGCTAAGACTAATTTAGAGGAACATACTACCTTTAGATGTCTAACATTAAGTTTACTGCAAACTGTATTTTCTACACAGCCATGAGGGGTTGTTTTGAACCATTTTCATGGGTGTATGTGTAGGTTATGATTGGAAAATGATGTTTTATTTTTTAATATGTAGGTTCAGTAGTTTTCAGATTATCACAATTTATTTCATTGTAATTCCTCATAATATGCTAGTTAGTTTTCTAGTGACTATTAGTCACTATCTTGGCCACAGTGATCTCATGAGGGTAAAACTTTGACCTCTTGATGATTCGAATAGACAAAATTGCAGGATGGCTCTGTGGACTATAAGTTCATAAGCTATTTCCTGCTGTGGACCGTCATACCAACATGGGTAAGTTGTTGTAAATAATTGCGTGTAACATTATGAACACTTGATTCGTTACAGGATACTGCAGCAAATATATGCAGATTCCTTGTTATCGAGGCAGTTTGTGCTCATCTGGTTGGCTAGTTAGCTTCGAATTTGATTGGAAAGTCAAACGAGTCATGAAACATCAAGCATGAATTCGATTGGGAAGGCAAACAAGTCATGAAACATCAAGCATATAGAATTGGGATTACTGTATTCACTCAAAACTGGGGTAAGCGAATAAAACTATATCCTCATGTTTTGTAAATTTCTAAGTAGAATCAGTTGATTTGTATGAAGCAGAAATCGTAGACGTCTGGCCACTGTCATACTAAGTTAATAACTTCACAGGGGCCAGTATTCTTTGCTTGATGTTGAAGGGTTGTTCCTGAAACAGTTATTGCAAAATTGCAATAAAGTCGTTTATGTTTGTTTCTATAACAAATAACCGTTTATGGTTTATTCTTCCACTTTCCTAAATGATGTATGTATAATATTGTTGCTGCCTTGGAATGCCTTTTGTGAATATGGTAGCTAGTATCTCAAATTTTATAGTGTGTTGATAGAGTTTTCTCAACACTTGGAAAACCAACTGAATACTATTATATTCAACCATATTTCATTGAAATAAACCATCTAACTTCAAAATTCATTAGAGCGGTATTATTCCACTTGGTGGTGGAATTGTCTTTATAAAAAGACATGAAATCGAGGAGAGGCGTTAACATATAATTAAATATCCTCTCTTAGTGAAGATGATGATGAAACAAGTTTCAAAAAGGACGTGTTTTTTGTATGTCTTTCTCCGAACTCTCATTGCCTTAGACACTTGTACACAAAAGTGCTTCATTGACTTATGTCAATTCGGTTGGAGAGAGAAACAAGAAATCGATGATGTCATGGTGTATGTCAATACAATCTTCTAAACCTGGGATATGTACAGATAACGGGCAACTTCTCAGTAACAATTTGAAGAAGAGAACCTGGGTCGAACATGGAACCGCAATTCATTGGGTCATGAAGTCACACAGAAAATATCGACGTCCATTTCAACTATGGACATGGATTTTAAATAACAAAGTATTGCATGACCCAAGGTTAATTATACCTACGTAAAGGGTCAAGATCCAACTGAATCGTTTCCTCTGCTTGTTGATATGGAGATGAGTATCGACTGATTTGGGAGATTAATAAGCTCATGTCGATTGGCTCATTCTGGGTAATTCATGAAGATGGATCCCACAAAATGTGTTGAAGAAGGAAGAAGTATACCGAAGTGAAGGCTGCAGAAGACAAAAACATTCCTAATAGTTTTTATTCTGTGCTAGGTTTAATGGAATCTCCGACATGGTGAGAAAATGAAGATCGGCTATAGAAGACGATGAACTATTAGAAAGAAGAATCAAATTGCTATGGGAAGCAGTGGATAAACTTTGAAACTCGGAAACATTATCATTTGTACAAAAGAACTTCAAAATGTAGTGCCTGTCGGGCAATTGGATGATGTTGTACCAAAAATCTTGGTCTATATACAGGGTGAATTGGGTGATTCATGTAACATTGGATTTTGGTACGCTGCTATAATAGAACATGCTCGTTCTTCATATTTCCAGTCTTATACTGCTCCAGTACAGGGATTGTCAAAAGTCGGTGCCAACTTTTGGTACTCCCTGTGCAAGTAGTTTAGGAAGAACGTGTATATTCAATTTGTGTTTTAATCAAGTTCTTATCCCAGAAAATTTCTAATGCAAAATTCACGTCTATCACCCTGTGGAGTAGCGATGCATTTTTTATGGCATTGGATTATTTTCCAGTTGAATATTTGTATGGATCTTAAGTATGTACTTCTAGATATACAGGGTGTTTGGTCCACCGACGTATATCTGGAAGGAGGCAGTAGGTAATGTGATTTTGAACATATTTAACCGTATACTGGTTGTCAACGAATATATTAAAACAGTCAAAATTTCTAGAATATTGGGTGTATCGAAATGAGATTTGGTATATGTGAATGGCATTTGGAAAGGAGAGTTTTCACATTCCGGTCACTTCTGGTTTCACCGTAAACGGCTCCGGCTATGAATTTTAGAATGGAACACCCTGTATATTGTGACATCAGAATGTGACATTTTCGAAATTTTCAACGCCTACTTCATTATTTTGAGTCACTTAATATTGAATAAAACTATGGGAATTTCACTGTTCAAAAATCTTATGTCGCTGTCATTACCTAGTGAGTGTTTTATTTTCCAAAGAAGACTTGATGAAAATAACAGCAAAATGTTATGTATCATGGCTATCCATCGCTCACTTGACAAAAGTTATCCAGTATTTTTCTTAGTTAATATTCAGTTTATGTTCTCATTGTCAGTCCAATCGCAATTAAATATGTATCGTTAAATTCGTCAAAAAATACTTATTTCGGAAAATGCTTTTCAAAAAATGGTGGCCATGTGAAAAATAATAGTTTGACACAAAAATGTAATTTTGGCAATGTGTATTCCTATCTATCATGTTGGTCACTAAAACTCTGCGATTGCAATTTTCTGACATCACTCGAGGTCCTCAATTTAGTTTACGTCTTATCTTTGCCACCTAGATGCAATATTAAAAGTGACCCTAAAAAAAATTGTAAACTTTCAAAATTGCTACATTCTGATTAAGAATTGTCTCAGGAAATATTACAATATCCAGAGTGTTACACTTTTCAAGAAATCATCGCTTATAAATTGACAAAACGATGATATTATATCAAATTGCTAACACTTTGTATAATAGTATATATTACCCCCTTTCAGATATACGGTGAACCAAACACCCTTGTTTCTAGAACAATTAACTATGAACCTTCATAGTTTTCATGGGATTTACTAAGATTTTTGGTGCAACATCGATTTAATTAATTGACAAAGTATATCTCGTCAAATGGTAGTTCATAAATAAACCGGAATATTGTTGCTGCTGTTTTGCGAAATGCAGAGGAACACTACTATTCGGAATATGAGTGTCCATAGCACATAAAATATCTGAGGAGGTAGCTTCTGGAGGTTTTAAGCTTCCTAGTACACACTGGCGGATAAATATTGCCAGTATTTCTCTCAAGAGTACAGCACGTTTAAAAGATAGCCAACAATTGGAGAAATAGATGGGTATCCTAGAGCTAGAATTTGATATATTCTGAAAAGCTCATACAATTTCTGATCTGATATATTTGTAGACAGAAATTAGGAAGTGTTCATTTCAGAAAAAAATGGCTGACACTTTCACGTTGCATAACAAAATGGCGACTCGATACTCCGTTGCATACCTGACGAAATGACGGCTGAATACTACGATGCATACCTAACAAAATGGCGGTACAATGATTGGTACCACATAAAATGGCAAGTTACCCCGCACTTGGAACACAATAATCAGGATGGTTTTGGAAAGTTCATGTCTGTTTTACGAAACATGCTTGTCGTCTACAAATTTACGCGCTGTTCACATGACTGTGCTGCTGAGGGAGAAGTGGAACACAATGGCACAATTCCGGTTTATATTTGAACTACCCTCATACACCTTGCATTTTGCCATTACTCAAATTCTTGACTGGGTCGTTTGAAATAATGCACACAAGGTGAGTATACAATAACTTTGCCGCAAATGTTCCAAAGAAAAGAACTAATCTCGGAAACTTCTTGTTTACACACTGTAAGTATTTTTGTCCGAAGAATCAATGACTTCAAATTTTCTTGAAAGGAAGTTTTGTTCTGAGTGAGCGAAACTCTTTGCCCCAACTCAATTAGAAAGATAGAAACATTTTGAGAAGAAGTTCTTGAAAGAAATTGAATAAGGTATATTCTCAACCAAATTTGTATATATTTTTATATTTGGAAATTGGAATTGTTTCCTTGAAATTTGAAGTGAGCTATTATTTCTGACCAAATTCTGTAAAGTATCTTCAAAATTTGCTTTCTTCCGTTGGAAAAATATAAATTCGTAAAAAAAAGGTATTAACAAAAATTCGCTATCGTACATACGACACATTTTCGTTAATTCTTCTAGGTGTAACTAGATTTCTTCAACGAAACAACAATTTTTTTTTCTACAGTATTAGGTAACTCTTCTGGTAAATGCCAAAACAATTTTTTTTTTCTACAGTATTAGGTAACTCTTCTGGTAAATGCCAAAATAGACTATTCAACTCCATTCATGAACCTCTTTTCAGATATTTTCTAACGACTTTCTCTTTTCTTATAATAGAGCTGGGACATAAAGTTTCGCTTACTCCGTATATGTTTTTCTGGAACGCTCAAAATTGCCGTTTTTTATAAAAAAAAAAACATCGCTAAATAAGATACTGAATTGTTATTGAATTTTTCATACCATTCTAATGTGTTTTGGTTGCAAATTATGAGCCAATGCGGTGTTCAAAGTTGTTGAAATTACGGCCTGGTTCGAGCAAAACATGGCATCCGGCATCGATCAAGATGACATCAGTTGTTGATATTGCCACGCCAACCTGGACAAAACTCTGCCAACTAGTTGCCACGTCCCAAATTGTAGTTCAGAATATCCCGAGTAGTAATCACAAGTCGACAATTGAACCGAATGCACATTCTCATCCCATGGAAGAATGGCATAATGTGTCATTGCATTTTATGAAGACCTTACATCGGCAAGACCTAACCACTGCTATGTGACCAAACATTCAGTATATTCCGTTGGTGACTCGGCAACTGCGCTCTGCGCTGTCGTAACTACGTGATACAAGATATGAAGCGATGTAGCCACGAACTGGAAGTAACAATTCGCTGGAAATATTCTCAATGATTCCGGCATCCTCGAGCATCCTCATATCATAGTTCAGAACTTTATTCGCAATAGTTTCTGAGAAACGTGTGAAGAAGTTTTCTGTCTTTAATCATGAAGACTAGTATCTTGTGAACTATACAAAAAGTAAATGTTTTTTTTCTTGCTTTTCTTGGCTATAAAAAACAGTCGCTTTTATAAAAGAAACCCAAGTTTCTTGATCCTGAAGATACTTTTTCATGAGCATATCAGTAGTACTGTTTTTTTGTTGTGAAATGTCGCATTTGCCACACTTCCGGCTCTTCATGGACCATATTGTTTTTTTTTTTTCAAATTTTATTATCATATATATCATTAAAGTGATATCCGTTATTCAGACACGAAAGTGTGATTCATTGCAGAACGGTTTTGTGGAGCTGGAAACTTATGCTGAAAGTAAAATTATACATACATATACATTGCCGTCTTCAATAGACTTGAAAAGTAAACGAAAGATAAGTAGTTGGCCATGCATTGTTATTTGGTACCATTTAGTACTATTCAATTTTCGTTTCATATTGTTCAAGTTCAAGTCCAATCAATTCCATTCTGACAATATACTCACTATCCCAATTTTTCATAAAGCATCTGAGAGACGATTTAATATTTGATGTCTTTATATCCATGGCAACGAATTCCTAAGCTGATGAGTTAGAAGAGTTGATTCGTTGTTGAGTAAACAGAAAGCTTTATGCAACCGGCCCTCAACTTCCTATCATTTATTGGGAATCCTTTCCAAAGTATTAACTGAATATCATCAACAACGAAACCAGTCCATCACTATTTCGAACAAAGCCAGTAGAATAAAAAATGAATAATCTTGAATACGAGTTCTAGTTTTTATATCCTCTGCAAATTTAAAATGCTTTGATGATTCAATGCATTAGAATAACTTGAAACAGTTACACTTTTTTCACATTAAACCATTCAATGCATCCATTTGTCGTGTTATCATTTTTATATCGAATTTTCACTCAGCTAATGATTAATTATGACTTGTGATCCTTTCAGATAGAGAAAACGACTGCCGAAGAAAATTACACTCGCACCATGAACGAAAAGGAAATGCTCTTGAAAGAACTGGCTGCCAAGAATGATTCGCTTGGTCAGCTCGAGAGCATGGTGGAACAATTGAGAGGAAACCAACCGGACAGTGTCAAGTTACTTGCGACAATGGAGAGTGATAAAGTGGCTGCCGCCAGGGCTGTTCAACAGAATAAGGAACTAAAGGAGCAAATGGATGGAATGAGAGAAGTGGTTGCAAAATTGGTGAGTTTTAATGCACCTTTCCCTGTCCTCATCAATTATTCCTATAAGATTGTTTGCAAATGCATATTGAATCTGAATATTTACACTCCAATTTTTCGAAAAATATATTTCTTTTTTTTTTCAGGACAATGACAAAGTGCAGCTTACTGAGAAGCTAGACTTTGAACAATCCAGCAATAAAGAACTTCTTGACAAACTCCAGAAAACTGAACTCCAACTTCAACGGCTCACTGATGCAATTGAAATCAAAGATCGTGAACTCTCGCACTTGAGAGATAGCTCCATGGAACTCAACAAACAAATATTGCAACAAGAACAGTTGGCCGATAGGCTACGGCATTACGAAGCACACGATAATTCATCTCACGCTCTACAAAATGATCTCCAAGAATCTAAACAGACTATCATAGAGCTTACAAATGAATTGAATTTATTGAAAAAAGAGAAAAATGACGAAGTTATTGATAAGATCACAAGTGATGTTACTGACGTTAAAAGTTTCGAGATAATAGACTTGAGAAAGCAACTAGATGAAATGAAACTGCAAAACAACGAACTCCAATCGAAGCTAGAAAATCACAGCATGATCGATAACAGTTTCAACGAAAATGACAGAACCGCCGACAAAGAAGCGATTATGAGATGTCTGGAAGATAAAGTCAAACATACGATGCAAGACATAGCTGACCTGACAGAAGAAAAACAAAGGTTGGAACACTTAGTGTTACAGCTGCAAGGGGAAACTGAAACGATCGGCGAATATGTGGCATTATATCAACACCAACGCATGGTTCTCAAACAGAAAGTGCTGGAGAAAGATCAACAGTTCAAGCAGCTGGCCAGCGACAGACAGGAAATGAAGAATAAATTGGAAAAGCTCAATGCCCTCATAAAGACCCTGGTTGATGAAAAGGGTTCCGTTCCTAGGGAGCTTCTCAAACAGCACGAGAGTTTTGTCGATCACAGTGATAGTTTCTGCGAAGAACATTCCAAGATTCACAAGGAAATCGGTAAATTTGATGGCGGTGAAAGTATGAAGACGGATGTAGCAAGTGGTTCTGAAACGGCGGAGGAAATTTTGACACTTCTCACGGAAATCAAGTCTAGTAACTTGGTGCAGCCCACCGAGAACTTCCACCATTGCCCTTGGTGTTCTGGGCAACTCATCACAGTGTAGGTTGAACATAAAGTGCTAAAGAAACATGGAATTGAGAAGCCAATCACCGAGATGACATGGGTAACTAACTCAGACAACTCGATGCCTCCATGAAGCTAGTGTCTGATGAAGACATTCTGCAACTTTTCGGTGACTCACGACAATGTGATGGGTCACAGTGATAGTCTCTGTGAAGAGGTCGTTCCAAAACGTTGATGATGGAAATGGTTCAAAAATGGCAGAAAAGATCTGAGGTTCAAGAAGCTAGCTATTGCAGAGAGGACATGAAAGAAGAACTTGAAAAGCTCAATGCTTCCATGAAGATACTGGATGACGTAGGTTCTCCTCACAGAAATCAACAATAATTGCTCTTGGTGTTGAGCAATTGATTACAATATTGTTAGTATGAGAGTTAGTTCTCAGGGTCGGCTATGATATAATATGCATTGTGTATTTATTTTTGGAATGATGTATGATTTATGACTTGAAGGATTCCGAAGGTCAACATTTCTGTGATAATATGAAAACTGAACTAAACATAATATGAGAGTTGTATTCCAAATCAATTTTGATAGCTTTCATTTTGAAGATTGAATATAGTGTGCAAAACAATTAGATTTTTTACCCCAGGTATTATAATATTTCTCATTACAATTAACAACATAGAACTCCGAGTAAAATTTAGTTTATTAATCTATTTCAGTTCACAACTTTTTTGAATTCATAAATCTTCACTTCTTCAGAATTTTAATCCTCAAGATGTCATGAATAGGTATCAATTTCACTAAATATTGGAATCATTTATCAGTGAATTACCCTAAGAGAAGTTTTGATTTCACACAGAAACTTTCAACTTTATTCATTTGGAAATTTCACAATGAGATGGATGGTCTTGCCTCATTTTGCAATGACGTAATTGAGTGTTTCAGTTTGGAATAAAAACTAGTAGATGTTTTTGTACCTACCATTTTGGTGTTTGCTGTTGCTGATGATACATTTATTATCTATCTCATATTAATGACACTGCATTTCATTTTCTTGAACAAGATTCAAATTTGTGACTGAAAATGTAAATTTTTTGGGTTTCTCTCTCATTCTGATTCAATTTGACCTGGAACTAAAGGGCTCAAGTTAGTGTCAGTGAGACAGTTCAATGACTTTCAAATACATCTACACTTATGAGTAAATACTATTCAGTATTGGGACAGCAAATATCAAAATCTTAATCTGCAGTGTTGTATTGTGTTGATAATTTTTGTATTTTCTATTTTTCATAACAATATAAGGATGCGTTTGTTGTGGTTACTGTGATTTTTTTAAATTCATCTGAATACAGAAATTCCAATGAATTGTTTGTTTTATTTCAATGTAAAGTTTGTGTTGGTGATAGTGATTGAATCAATATCAATTCTGGAGCAATATTAGAAATCTTGAAACAATTTGCCCTTGTAAATTGAAAGTAGCAGTAACTTTTTGAGTAAACCAAATTCACTACTGGAACCTATATTAAGTCACAGAAATGTGTAAACACCTGGTATAGTTTATACAAAGTCCGTTGAGAAAGCCAAAAAAAAATTTAACCGGCTGCATGTCGACAAATCCTTTGACAAGCCCTGACACAGCGGCGGGTAAAATATTTTTTTCGTTACCACAAACTAAAGCTGTTTTTAAATGAGTTTGATTGTTCAAAAATTACCTATATATTCATTTTGGAACATATCAAATATTGGTAAATTTCCAGACCACCCATGGCTGGTTACTTGTTTTTAGTGGGTTTTCGCCAATAGCCCTAGCGTCCTACATTTGAAATATGAATAAATTAAACAATCAAAATTCTCAACATGTCACCTCACTTTCCTAAACTTCACACTTTGGTTATGATAATCACAATATGATTCACAACACACCACTTATTAGTTTTCGTAACTGTTGTACACAAATAATACTGGATGATATATCACTAGTCACTATCGGACTCTTCATGACTTGAATCTTCATTTTTTTTTTCTGATCTTTTCCAGTAATTCGTTCTTCAGTTTTTTAGGAGATATTTCCATGCCTTTTTTCTACATAAATTGAATAATGTCAGCCTTTTTCGTGTTGGTGCTCGGTATTTTTGTTTGTTGACGTGATCGAATGGTATGACGCATTATCCATATCGATGACTGGATTCTCTGGAATATTTGGTATAAGCTGATGCTGCTCTGCCCATTTCTCAAATAATTCTGCCGTCATATCCTCGTGATAATCGGCAGAGGATTGCTTGATATTTTCTACAGACAACAACAATGCATTGTCAACAAATTCATTTTCATTGCCGGCGTGAAGGATTATTACTTTTTTGCCTCTCAAACTCTGACCACTCACATTACAGTTTTTGCTATGATCTACCCAACCGTATCGAACAACGTCATGAGTGTCGAACCACGTTTCATCTAGATTTTAGGTCTATTCGCTTCACGGTTTCCCTTTATTTTACGTAGATATTCTTGCCGATGGTCTACGATGGGTCTTGATTCCATAATCACCATCCTTTTGTCTAATTTCTTACTACTGAACCCGCAATCTAGTAAAACATTTCGCAACGTACTTAACGATTTGTAATTATAATCCGCGTATTCATTCAACTTATCACTGATATCTGGCAATGTTGGCACCTTATTCTCAATCTATATACAATTCGACGAATTACTTCTTCCCAAGCATCACCAAGCTTCTTTAGTTTTTGTCCCACTCTTTTTCGTTTAACTTCATGATCTATATACAACACCTCCGGTTCTAATAGCTCTGTATATGGTGAGTATAAATTATTTCAGTTAAGTCTTTATTGGCGAACTCCGCTTGCTCTTCCTCCGAATCACTATCACTCACTTCGTTGACTTCATGAAAAGGCCTCCAACACAAAACCACTACGATTGAAATAATAATTTTCTGAATTTCGAGTTGAACCAATGAAGGCAACCTAGCTCGTACCGCACTGCCCAGCGCAGGCTAGAAGATTCTCATCACATAGAAGACCGCCCATGCAATTCTGATGACCAATCAACATTCAGGAGTTACCAATGAGACGCGGTTTCTAGCATGACAGCGCTTGTCCAGTCCACGTTAACTGCACAGGCTGCATACCGGGAGCCCTCAGTAGAAAATATCTCATTCATTCCTATTCCAATGCTAAGCAAATCGACAAATCCTCGTATCGTCCTTAAAAACGGAAGTTCTTCAACTGACTTCGCATAAACTATAATTATAATTCTTTTTCAATACTTTTTATCTTGTATGCAGACCTATCAATTCTGCTTATAATTTAGAATAGGCGAGTGGACTAATTTTTTAATTTCTTGAATAGATTGTTTACTCGGATACCTTTCAATTTCATATTTTTTAGAATTTATCCGTCGATTTTAAGGTGCTAAAATCATCAATGCCACGGTAATTTTCAAACGGCTAAAATTTAACCGCCAGAAAAACTGACTCCACGATTTCCTAAGTAGAGGCAAACCAGAGCACAGTTGCCATGTGTTGAAATACGATTGGGAACTTCAAAAATATTAGCTATTCAATAATTCATAAATTGGTAATATTCCTAATTGGAAATGAACATTTAATTGTCTCAGAATGTTCCCTTATACATAGATTAACGACTTCCATAGAACGTTCATAAAATATTCTTCGAGAACAATTTTAGAATATTTGAACATTCTCAGAATATGATACAAATATTCTAGGGGTGTTTTATGAAGTTTCGGAATGGACTGTTTCAAATATTCTGAGAATATTCCTAGTATATTGAAGGAGAATGAAGACAATAAAACTTGCTCGGTGGAGATGCGAACCTACTATCTTGTGATTGAATTTTCACGAACCTGAAACCTTCACTTCGCCACGAACCTTATTGTTGATGAATAAAATAAATAGCAAGATGACAACACTGAATGAGCGGGATAATCAGCATTGAGGCTAGAGAATAATAGGTTATGTCAGGGTAATCATTATAAATATTGGTACAAGAATAGGAGAACCTACTATTCTTTGACAGGAACATCAATATCATTTATTTTGATACGATACTGCATATTCTCAGAACATTCAGAAATAATATTCTGAGAATATAATTGAATGTCCATAGAATATTCGATGCAGGATGAGAATATTCTATGATCATTCTGAGAACATTCTGGGATTCGGGTTAATTACAAAGGAGGTGGCTATGTCTTTATTGACTAGTGGTTCACAAATTGACGAAATCTACCATGGTAGTATAAATAACTTTACTCCTCGAAACGGAGTAAATAATGATATCTTTTATAGCTATAGTGGTGGAAAAAACATTTAAGTCGACTCTATTTTTCCTGAATTACAGTAATACACTTCAAATCAGAATCAGAGCCTCATTAAATGAACTTATCGGCTAAAAAAGGACAACCCTGAAGGAGTGTTTCATGGATTCGTAATTATACCCCTATCAGTTTTTTTACCATAAAACGAATATTTTTCTCATCAGAGGGGTCAATATATTGAGCTCTGCAATCTATAGCGACTTCTTTTCACATGACATTTCAATTGACATTTACAGCCTCTAAAGAATTTATGGATTCCAATTCTGCTCTTCTGTATCACACATACCAAATATAGTTATTTGTTTTACTAGGCAGGAAAGGAAAGATTGACTGCCGCGGCTGATAGTTCATAGCGAGCGTAGCGGCAGAGAAAGTGGCTTTTCTATTTATCCCTTAACAGGGAGGAAAAGAGGACTTTCTCTGCCTAGGCAGGAAAAGTTTGTTGCTTTGCAGCGTTCCAAGTAATTTGAATGAAATCGGTAATCAAAATTTACACTGACATCGGGTGAACACAGAATGATGGAGTTTTCACTAAAAAATTACACAAAATTGGTTTTATAACATCTGGAGAAAAAATTATATATTTGACACGGCACCAAATGTAAATTGACTGCCGTGGCTGATAATTCATAGCCCAGCATAGCGAGGCTAGGAATGGAATTGTACACGCAATATAGTCGAATTCATGCCACAAACCTATTTCATTTATTGATCATTCCGTGAATGATCCGTGTATCGTGTATCAATAGTATTTGATGCAATTATTCGTTATTCAAAATCATCACAAGTATATTTTTTCCATGACCCTCGAAACAGCCAGTTTCGATGACGTCATGAACCGACCCGAAAGTCATTGTTATCTGGATTCTGGCTTTCGCATAAAAAGTATATAGAACCACATATTTGGACGCTGACAGATTTGTAACTTGTAATAACCTTATGAGATCCAATATGACCAATGACAACAGTATTCACATTCACAGAAGACAAAATAGTTCGACCTTGTCCCTAATAATCCCTTATTGATGAATACTTATACATACTTGCAAGATGCTTCAATACCAATAAAAATATCATTAGTATTCCCAATAATGATCGAGATTCTATTTAAACCCAAATAATTTTGTGACACTGGCAACTGCGTAATGCCTAAAGTTCCCAGAAATACAGGAAGAGAAGAAGACGAACTACATTGTCAACCTAATTTCCCAACGTCACCTTCATCTCCAAATCCTTGTTTTATCACTTCCATCTAGTCAAGATGCGAATATTCAAAGACATTCTTCTCATTTTCTTCAGTTATGTGTTGTGTTCTTTGTCATATGCTACGAAGCCCTGGAAGGGACACATAAAATAAAAAAAATAAAAACTTCAAAATTCCGACTTATAATTCGGAATTTTAAAATTCCGTGTTATAACTCGGAATATTGGATGTAAAATTCAGAGTTATAACTCAGACTTTTAAAATTGTAAATTTTAAGTCGGAATTTTACATCAAAATTCCGAGTTATTACTCGGAATTTTAAAATTCCGAGGTATAAGTCGGAATTTTACTTCCAATATATTCCGAGTTATAACACGGAATTTTAAAATTCCGAGTAATAAGTCGGAATTTTGATGTAAAATTAGTGTTTACCCGTCAGAATAAGAATCGGAATGAAGCCAACACCCCTCTGCAGTCCTGCCCTGAGACGCCAATGAGATTTGTGACTTTTGTCCTATTGACAGCTGTGTTTTGTGACATTCGAAATCCATAATCGCATCCAGCGTTGCCAGACCTAGAAGTGAGTTTTGTGCAATCTATATTAATTCTATACTATGTAGTTCATACTAGTACTCTATAGTTCATACATATATCTACTACTCATATATGAAGCATGCTGTCCTCAAAGCGGGACGAACTTCTATCTGTGCGCGCATTCGGCCATTATTACGTATTGAAAATTTCAGGAAAATCACTCGACCGCCTACTATGATTTCTCTACGTCACAACGAGCGAGACGTTGATTCTACA